CGCGGGGACGCGGGCGCGTTCCCCGGCGCGGGAGGGGGGAGGGGGCGGCGCCGGGCGGGGCGGGGCTTCGGTGCCTCGGGAGCCTTATTCCCGGCCGCGCGCCGGGAGCGCTCAGTCTGCCGAGGGAGCTCCGCGCTGCACGCGGTTGGCGGGCCTGACAGAGGCACAGGGATTCGAACGGACTCACGGACTGACTGAGTGAGCCGACAGACGCACAGTGGCCGCCAGTTGCGCGCAGATCTCAGCTAGGCTTGCACCCAGAGGTGGACAGTAGTCAGTGCCCGGCGGAATCTCCTGCGCTCCGCCGCCTGGCTCCGGTGCCAGCTCCCGGTGGCCGCCGCCTCCAAAGTGATTGCTGCCTCGCCGCCTCCACCCGGTCCGGGAACATGAAGCTGCTGCCGTCGGTGGTGCTGAAGCTCTTTCTGGCTGCAGGTAAGAAGGCTGCTGACGTCCCGGGGGGTCGGGGGGGATGGGAGCGCTGTGCTGGGGGCACAAGGGAAGGTCGCTGCAGCGCCCCCGGCGCGGGCCACTTGGTGGGGCCCGTGCGCTCTTATGGGCCGGCGTCGGCATCGGTGCGTGGTGGACCCGGGTCTGGGCGGGGGATCTAATGGAACCTCGCCCCTCGCCTGCAGTGCTCTCGGCGTTGGTGACTGGCGAGAGCCTGGAGCGGCTTCGGAGAGGGCTGAACGCTGGAACCAGCAATCTGGACCCTCCGACTGGATCTACCGACCAGCTGCAAACCCCTGGAGGCAGCCAGGACCGGGAAGTCTTGAACTTGAAAGAGGCAGATTTGGACCTTTTCAGAGGTGGGTATGGAGACTGCCCATCCTGATTCTAGTGGGCAACTGGAGAATAAGTGGGTCTGAGATTCATGCCTTTTGGGCACTTCTGTGGGTTATGGGTATTCCTGGAGGACCTCAGGGAAAAGCTGATCGGCCTGATGAGGATGGAGGGTCCTAAAATATAGGTCCCACTGTCTTCCTGTTTAGCAGTCTTACCTGCTGGGTTTTGGCCCTTCTGGCTACTTTGGGGCAAAATGAATCTACCAGGTTGTCTGAGGTTGGTACATTCCTCTGAGGTAAGCTGGGTAGTAGGAACAAGGATCAGTTAAGATGCTTTGCCTAGAGTTCCTATTTAAAAATGTGTGCAGACCCTAAGTCCCACATAAAATGACTGTTACATATGAAACCAAGATAACACGTGTGGAATTACCCAGGCACATAGAAAGTGTGCAATGTTAGTCTCCTCCACCCACCTGTCTCCAAGTTGGGAAACAGGGAAGTGAGGAACTCTGGACCACCCTAGATGAGACCAGTACCTTTAGGGGAGGCTATGAATGATCAGGGGGCTGTATTGAAATGCTGGTTGTTGAGCCCCTGGCTGCATTTATAGTTAAGACAGCTGCATCCCACATGGCCAACTGCACCCTTTGAGTCCAGGACCTGGAGGCTTGAAATTCACAGTGGGCATGTGTGCAAGTGTGTCCAACATCCTGAGAGGTGAGTGTAAGAGAAGGGATTGTGGTATGGCCATCCCCCCTAGGGGTGCCTCCCCCTTCCCCCCAGCATCCCAGTCTACTGCAAGCAAAGTGCCCTCTAGCAAATTAAAAGAAAAAAAAAAAAGAAAAGGTACTGGCTATCTTTGACTACTGCTTGAAGACTAGAGACATCCTAGCCACCGAAGAGACTCTGAGGCAGGAAGGCCACACGGAACCCTCCAGCCAGCATATGTACCTGCCACTGAGTACAGGTATAGGACAGAGTCCAGGTCCTGCTCACTTCTCAGTCTACAGCCACCTGCAGCGATTCTGGAGGGTGGGGCAGGGACCAAGCCCTGGAGCCTCGGAATGACTATATTTGGTAGGAAAGCTACCCACCTGTTCTAGCCCGGCCTACTCCTCAGCTGCCCTTCTTCCACCTTACCCAGAGTTTCCCTTGGGTGCTCTCTCTGCTTTGTGTAAATTTAAGAGTCTGCTCCAAAGCTCATCCAGGGCTCCTATACTTTACCCTCTGACAGTAGCCCTCTGGGGCCACCCATGGCCTGAACAGCTTGGATTCTCCTGGCCCTGTCCTCTGCTGGGTAGGGCTGGGCTGGGCTGTGACTCACCCGCCACCCACACGGCTGCTCCTCATACCTCTGCAGACCTGACTCACTCCTCCTCTCCCCAACAGGAGTAGGACTGTCACCCTGCCACTCTCCCTCCCTTTTCTGGTTGGCCGGGCCTTCCTGCCTTGGTTTCCTCACAGCACTGGTCACTGGGTCCTCACTTCTCTGCTCTAAAGGGGCCTGGTACTGGACCAGAGGAAACTAGGGATGGCGGGACTGCTGGCACCTTCTTCTCTTCCCTTCTGTTGCCTTTGCTGGGGCTGGGATCCTTTCTTAGGTCTGGGGATCCTATCATCTAAATAAATAACAGTTACCATTTATTAAATGCCTATTGTATTCTAGGCATTTGGTATGTTATCCTGGTTAATTTAACCCTTTATCCACATTTGACAGAAAGCCTGGGGTTCCGACAGGTTAAGCTACTTGCCCAAGGTCATGTGGCTGAAATTGGAGCAGGAGTTTGCTGGGTTCAGAGCTTATTCATCTTGCTCAGCATCTTAGGTGCTTCAGACTTCTGGGAGGGAGAAGATGAGGGTGTGCGAGCCAGCTTGGGGGTCATAGGAAAGAACAATGAATGAGGAATCCACAGTTCTGATCTCAGTCTTGCATAACCTTGGGCAAGTCAATCTGCCTTTTGGGACCTCAAGATTTTCATGTGAAAATGGAAGGCCACTGGGACCAGCAGATGGCATAATGGTTACATTGCTGGACTCCCACACAGTCAATGGTGGTTTGAGGCCTGGACCTGGCAGCTTAAAACTCACGCTGGGTGTATGTGCTTGCGTGCCTAAGATCCCAAAAGGTGACTAGAGGAGAGGGGATTGTGGCATGGACATTCCCCCTGGGGAGTGATTTCTTGCTTTCTGGCTCTCTGGCTCTCTCTGGCTTTCTGGCTTTCAAGCACATGCACCCTATAGCAAAAATCTCTCTCTCTAAAAAAAAAAAAAAAAAAAAAAAGAAATGGAAGCCTGTGATATTCTTTGAAGTCAGTCCTTCTTTAGGATTCCATGTCTAATATATCATGCTTACCTTTCTGTTATATATGTGGCAGTGGCCATGGACGGGGCACCTTTTCCCTGCTGGGAGCACAGCGAGTCTACAGGTAGAATGGAGTTGGTGTCAGATCCCAGCAGCTAGGGTAGTATGTAGCCCATGGTGAGTTTTTCTCGAGGAGGTAGTTCCCCCATCTCTGGGGAAAAGAAGGTTGGGAGTCGTCATTATTCTAGCTCCTTCTGGATGGTTCCTTACTTTCCATCTCTACCATTATACACACTGTACCCCCATCTCAGAAAGCTATCCACAGAACAACTGGGAATGAACATCAGTGGATCTTTGAGAAAGTGAGTGAGATGTACAGGGCATAGAGCAGGGTAAATATTATGCTTCAAGTCCAAAAAGCAAGGCTTTAACCAGGAATGGCCTACTTGCTGTTCCCAAGCCAGACTCTCGCTGGGCTAATGGTTCCTAATGGGTGCTGAAGGGGCCACGAGAAGACATGGACAAAAATCTGTTTTTAAGAGCCCCCACCCCCCCAAACCTTCAAGTACCTGCCTTCTCCAGATACCATTTTTATCTGTGACACTGTCTTCCTGGAAGTGGGTCACTGAGCAAAGCATCAGGAAATGAGGCTGATTTAAGGCTGAAATAGAACCAAGTGGGTATAGGGAAGTAGGAGGGGTTGGAAAGTGGGCAGTGGGGTAAGGGTGAGGTTGGTAGAGCTGTTCAGTGAACTGTAGTTACTCGGCAGAGTAACTGCATTCTCAGAATGAAGTTTTTAAACTAAGTTTGTGAAATGCCTTCCTTGGGACCCAGCCTAACCTCCACTTCCTCCTGAGGTTCCCACTTTCTGGTGATTTTGCTCAATCTTTCTTCAGCCTTTGGGAGGCACTGAGCTCAGAGGCCTTCTGAACCTCTGCCTTCGGGTGGATCAAAGGGTACATACCCCTCCCAAATGCTAAGCTGTGTAGGTCTTCGCCCTGAATAGTGAAATATTTAGCAGGGTACCTTTCTCTTGCAGTTGCTTTCTCCTCCAAGCCACAAGCTCTGGCCACACCAAGCAAGGAGGAACATGGGAAAAGAAAGAAGAAGGGCAAGAGGTTAGGAAAGAAGAAAGACCCGTGTCTGCGGAAATACAAGGACTTCTGCATCCATGGAGAATGCAAATATGTGAAGGAGCTCCGGACTCCATCCTGCAAGTGAGTGTCCCTTCCCCAGGGCTGACCCTTGCCAGCACACTCTGGCAGCCACGTGGCTGTTCCTCGTTGTCACTGTTCCTTGAATTCATAATTTCAAACAGTTTCTTCCCAACCTCTGGGCGGAAGTTGAGAGGATGAGAAATATTTTTAGTCAGCGGAAGCCCCCCTTTCCCCAGTAGGATGCAACTTCCTGTGGCCTGAGCTTATGACACTCTTTAACCCCTAAGGACATTTCCTGCTTACCCAGAAATAAGTGTATGGCTAGAACTGGCACCTGAAGGCAAGTTCTTCATTCCTACTTCATTCCTATTCTGAAAGGGAGAAGCAGGGAACGTGGCAGAGTGGGCTTCCTGGGTGGAGTGGAGCTCCTGCAGGCAGGTGTGAGGCGCATTTAGATACACGTTGTACAGTTATGTGTATTCAGATATGTGTGCATGTGAGTGAGAAACTGTAAGTCGATTCTAAGACACGGCAGGACTGTACAGAGAAAGATCATCAAGGAGGTGGGCTAAAGTCTCTTCTTCACCCCAATATGGGCCAGAAGGTGAGAACATGGAGGGTATTAGCCTTTGGCTTTGGGGTGGGAGAACACATCCCTTGTGCAGGATTGATGGGAAATGGAATCCGACTTAGACGTCAGCCCCTGGTCAGGCAGCATTACCCCTTCCTTAGGCAGGGGTGTAAGCAGAGGGACTGTGGGTTCCTTAGCCTCTCCCCTAGGCCAAACCCAGCAAATGGCTGTCTTGGCAGCCCCTCAGGGATGACAGCACTGCCGTCCTCTCTGGCAAGCATAATGTCACCACTGTGCCTGAGGCCAACACCCCACGTCAGGCTGCAAACATTCACTCTCTTCTCTGTGGGGAGGTAGGCTCTGGGGGCCTTATGACCCAGGAGACCGGACAGGACCAGAGTGTTGTGTACACACTGCCTCCCAACCTGTCAAGAAGACTGGCTGCCTATGTCTCTTCGTCCTGTGATTGGTGCAGATTCCTTTGCTTTTTTTTTTTTTTTTGCCCGGCGGCCCCAG